ATGGTAAATGCAGTGCATGTCGCTTCAAACGTAAATTACTGACGATGTTTCGTGCTGTAGCCAATGTCTAATGGAGTTGCATCAGGTCCAGGGGACACACGCCTTTGTCTAATAGGCTGTGGTTGCAATAACAATATTTACCATTATAGTGTGATGTAACAATTTAACCACATACTGATTTCATTTGTACGTTTTTACAGTTATCAATACATTTAAATGACAGCAGTTGAATATGGACCATGTGTTCATTCTACTTATGAAATGAGTAGTGTGTAAGTGTGTGTGTGTTTCTGTCTATGTGTCTGTCTGTACTTGCATTGAAACCTGAAAATGTAACACTAATGCCATCAATTTTTCTGGCCATGTCAGCATAGGTGTCATCAATATCCATTGTCTGCATTGCTCTAGTTGGATTATTTGCTTTCAACCCTGCTGGCATTTTATTTTATCACCCCCTGCTGAGTCCCCCAGAACCACTAACACATTACATAAGAATCAGACAATCCATAAAATGATCATATCATGTGAAATTAAGAAAAACTAAATCTTATCATGTTGGTTTGTTGTTAACACAAACATAACACAATAGTAGTGATGGAGCATTATTAAGATTGGCCAAACAATAATGAACTAATGTACCGCTGTCTGGTAGGTTCAGATACAACATGTGGCAACAACAGAATGTGTGGGTGGTTGGAAACAGGCAGGAAGTGTAACTAAAGTTTATGTAGTCTGTGTGAATGACAGTGCAGGGAATCTTCTTCAGTGAAATAAACCCAAACCTTGACTCAATGCAAAACAAATGCAGATCTAACCATCTCAGGAATACTTACCTGGGATCAAGTCATCAGTGTCTACATCACCTTATTCATTATGATCCAAAAGGCTAAACAGATCCTAGATCAGCATTCCTGCACTGAGACGTGATAAATATGGGCCCTGACTTGAGTCTGCTAACGCAGCACTTTATTTAGATTTTACATCCGTCTAAATATTCTACAGAAACAAGAGAGAAAAAGAGAGGAAAGTGAAAGATGAAAAATATGAAAGTTTGGTGAGAGAAAAGGAGAAGTGACGGAGCTGTGTCAGGGTAATGAGAAGGAATCCACCTAACACTCCACGATGGTACCATGTGACTTCTTAAAGTCCTATACAGTTTCTTGTAAACCACATGATCTTGGTTAACCTATAGTAGGCCCTACAAGGCTTACAACAGGCTAGCTACCCAGTTATCAACAAGCACTCAGCAGGCAGGTGGCTCTCCAACAGCTAGCTACCCAGTTAGCAACAACCACTCAGCAGGCAGGTGGCTCTCCAACAGCTAGCTACACAGTTAGCAACAACCACTCAGCAGGCAGGTGGCTCTCCAAGAGCTAGCTACCCAGTTAGCAACAACCACTCAGCAGGCAGGTGGCTCTCCAACAGGCTAGCTACCCAGTTAGCAACAACCACTCAGCAGGCAGGTGGCTCTCCAACAGCTAGCTACCCAGTTATCAACAACCACTCAGCAGGCAGGTGGCTCTCCAAGAGCTAGCTACCCAGTTAGCAACAACCACTCAGCAGGCAGGTGGCTCTCCAACAGGCTAGCTACCCAGTTAGCAACAACCACTCAGCAGGCAGGTGGCTCTCCAACAGGCTAGCTACACAGTTAGCAACAACCACTCAGCAGGCAGGTGGCTCTCCAACAGCTAGCTACCCAGTTATCAACAACCACTCAGCAGGCAGGTGGCTCTCCAAGAGCTAGCTACCCAGTTAGCAACAACCACTCAGCAGGCAGGTGGCTCTCCAAGAGCTAGCTACCCAGTTAGCAACAACCACTCAGCAGGCAGGTGGCTCTCCAAGAGCTAGCTACCCAGTTAGCAACAAGCACTCAGCAGGCAGGTGGCTCTCCAAGATGCTAGCTACCCAGTTATCAACAACCACTCAGCAGGCAGGTGGCTCTCCAAAATGATTTGGGCAGCGAGACAGCAGACTTGCTCACCGGCCTTACTGGCAGGGCGCCCGCTTTTAGATGCAAATCATCCTGCCAGATACAAATCAACCCGCCAGAGATGCAAATCACGTCATATGCAAACTAGCAACTCAAAATTAAGCTAGCAACCCTACAATAGTCTACCAAGTAGCTGTAAATTAAGCTATCGACCCTCCAATAGGCTACCAAGTTAGTGTAAATTAAGCTATCGACCCTACAATAGGCTAACTAGCAAGTCTAAATGAAGCCAGCACCACTACAATAGGCTATAGGCTAGCTAGCAACCCTATGTCAAAGAGAAAGCTGTATTTTTACAAGTGATGAAAACTTGGGAATGACAAATGCGTTACAGGATGCTGACGCACTGACTGCAGGATGTCAAATCCATTAAAGTGAAGGGGGAATGTTTAACGTTGCATCCAGAATGATGAGGATGTTACCAGCTATGCCTGTCATGGACATTTCGGTGAATCTGTTGTTGGCTAAAACCATTCTAGCACCCTCCTCCTGAACAGGGTTCAACAACCAGTTACTGAGTTACTGTAGGTCAGGACAGGAAAAGGGTTAGAAAGTTCAGAACCAAGTTTGAACACTGAACATTGTTATATAATGGCAGTTGACAGGGCTTTAAATAAGGTATAGACACATTTTGCCTTGCCACATTCAGTCTTCCAAGTTTACCAAGCTTTAGAATTTTGGAGTAGCTGAACATTCAACCATAAATTTAAGTATAAACTATACTCCTGTAGCTTATGTGCTTGAGAGAGGGGAAATGAAACTCTTCTATGCAGCATTCTGTAACTTGAACTTTCAGTTTGACTTGAGCTTGACCACATGTTAACCACACGTTACCTCATATCTGAACCTACCATCCAGTGGTATATTAGTTCATTATTGTTAGGCTAAATAAGGTAAAGGAAATGCTGATGTTGACACGAAAGGTGGGGTCGCTTAGACTATAAAAAACTTGTGGACACGTTACTCCAATCTGACATGTCATGCTCATTCATTAGGTTGACATAACAAACCAATATAACTTAGTTGTATGTATCCGTTTTCAACTCTCAAAGATTGTGGTAAGATTTATTTTCTCTATTTCACCAGATATTATTATTTTATGCATTGTCTAATTATTGTGTAATATGTTAGAGTCTCTGGGATACTAAGTAGGTGAACTGTAACTGGGACAAAGTACATATCTACAATGCATTCGGAAATTATTCAGACCCCTTGACTTTTTCCACATTTTGTTACGTTACAGCCTTAGTCTGAAATGTATGAAATTGTTTTTTCTCCTCATCAATCTACACACAATATCCTATAATGACAAAGCAAAAACAGGTTTAAAAAAAAAACTGAAATATACATTTACATAAGTATTCAGACCCTTTACCCAGTACATTGTTGAAGCACCTTTGGCAGCGATTACAGCCTTGAGTCTTCTTGGGTATAATGCTACAAGCTTGGCACACCTGTATTTGGGGAGTTTCTCCCATTCTTCTCTGCAGATCCTCTCAAGCTCTGTCAGGTTGGATGGGGAGCATCGCTGCACAACCATTTTCAGGTCTCTCCAGAGATGTTCGATTGGGTTCAAGTCTGGGCTCTGGCTGGGCCACTCAAGGACATTCAGAGACTTGTCCCGAAGCCACTCCTAAGTTGTCTTGACTGTGTGCTTAGGGTTGTTGTCCTGTTGGAAGGTTAACCTTGGCCCAAGTCTGAGGTCCTCATTGCTCTGGAGCAGGTTTTCATCAAAAATCTCTCAGTACTTTGCTCTGTTCATCTTTCCCTCAATCCTGACTGGTCTCCCAGTCCCTGCCACTGAAAAACATTACCACAGCATGATGCTGCCACCACCATGCTTCAACGTTGGGATGGTGCCAGATTTCCATCAGACGTGACGCTTGGCATTCAGGCTAAATAGTTCAATCTTGCTTTCATCAGACCAAAGAATCTTGTTTCTCATAGTCTGAGGTGCCTCTTGGCAATCTCCAAAGTGGGCTGTCATGTGCCTTTTACAAAGGAGTGGCTTCCGTCTGTCCACTCTACCATAAAGGCCTGATTGGTGGAGTGCTGCAGAGATGGTTGTCCTTCTGGAAGGTTCTCCCATCTCCACAGAGGAACTCTGGATCTCTGTCAGAGTGACCATCGGGTTGTTGGTCACCTCCCTGACCAAGGCTCTTCTCCCCCGATTGCTCAGTTTGGCCAGGTGGCCAGCCATAGGAAGAGTCTTGCTGGTTCCAAACTTCTTCTATTTAAGAATGATGGAGGCCACTGTGTTCTTGGGCACCTTCAATGCTCCAGACATTTTTTGGTATCCTTCCCCCAGATCTGTGCCTCGACACAATTCTGTCTCTGAGCAATTCCTTCAACCTAATTGCTTGGTTTTTGCTCTGACATGCACTGTCAACTCTGTCCAATCAATTGAATTTACCACAGGTTTATTCCAATCAAGTAGTAGAAACATCTCAAGGATGATCAATGGAAACAGGATGTACCTGAGCTCAATTTCGAGTCTCATAGCAAAGGGTCTGAACACTTATGTTATTAAGGTATTTCTGTTTTTGTTTTTTTATACCTTTGCAAAAATTCAAAAAAACTGTTTTCACGTTGTCATTATGGGGTATTGTGTGTGTAGATTGATGTGGAAAAAAAGTAATTTAATCCATTTTAGAATAAGGCTGCCACGTAAGAAGATGTAGAAAAAGTCAAGGGGTCTGAATACTTTCCGAATGCACTGTATGTCAAATACTGAAGTAAGCTTGATTGAATTTGACCACCGTGCATGTGTCACTAGTTGGGTAAAATTTGCACTTGGGACTATCCTATTTTTTCCTTTGTACCGGGTAAGCGAAGTCAAGCTCACCTCAAGTATTTGAGTTGATGACACATAAGGCACAGATACAAACCTACAAAATGGTCCCATGGCTGAATCTAGATGATGATTCCTGAAGTAACAGAGAAAAATATAGCATTTGATTTCTAGAAATGTAAGAGACAATCTATACAACCACAGGTGGAGAATCCAACAATGCAGACCATGGATATTGATGACGACACGTATCCCATCAAGCCCAGTGTTACATTTTCAGGTATCAATTCAAGTACAAACACACAGCTTTTGTTGCTTACAATCCTGGATGATATAGGTATTTTTAACATTACCAGAGATAGTTCAAAGACCTTACATGATAATTCCCTGTAATTCAGCTAATTTTCAGTGGTGGAAGAGACCCTCTGGAGTTGCTGCAGTGTGTCTGGGGCTGCTGTGTGTTCTCCTACTGGCTGGGATCATAGGCCTGTCTGTCTACTGTAAGTTTAGAAGGTTTGGACAGAAACATTTGTAAACTTCCATGGTGTGATAGTTACACATATTTGAATAATTGATTAACTTTTCCCTTTTAAAGGTGGAGTTATTGGTCATCACTACTCAACAGAGAGAGACCAACAGGCCAGTTACAGCCTTCTGACTAAAGAAGGAGATCAGCAACCCACCAGTTATAATAACTTGACTAAAGAGGTAGACCAGCTACAGACCAGTTACAACACCCTGACTAAAGAGAGAGACCAGCTACAGACCAGTTACAACACCCTGACTAAAGAGAGAGACCAGCTACAGAATAGTCTAAATACCAGGACGACAGAGAGAGACCAGCTACAGAATAGGCTAAATACCAGGACCACAGAGAGAGACCAGCTACAGAATATTCTAAATACCAGGACCACAGAGAGAGACCAGCTACAGAATAGTCTCACAACCAAAACTAAGGAGAGAGACCAGTTGCAGAATAATCTCACCACAATAACTCTGGAGAGAGACCAGTTACAGAATAGTCTAAATACCAGGACCACTGAGAGAGACCAGTTACAGAATAGTCTAAATAACAGGACCACCGAGAGAGACCAGTTACAGAATAGTCTAAATACCAGGAACACTGAGAGAGACCAGTTAAATACCAGGCTTAGGTCCTATGGTGAGTGCAGTCTTTTATTTTCTTAATTTACAAGTATCATTTTATTTCATACTTAGAAGAGATTTCATATATTTGTAGACTTTGAAATGCCTTCTGTTCTATTTCGTTTATTTCAGAGAAACCCTGTCTGAAGGAATGGTGGAAGTTTGGCACCAGCTGTTATTATGTCTCCTCCACGAGGGACACAGGCGGGGACGGTCAGCGGCAGTGCAGAGCAATGGGTGCTGACTTGGTTGTTATAAACAGCAGAGAAGAACAGGTAATAGAGAATACATTAGTAATGCTATAATACTACTGTTTCTTTATTATTATTATAATTATTAATCATTATCTACATCTCTGATTAGTATTCAATATGTGTAAATAATTGTATCACCAATGTTCATGTCACTGTCAATTTATAGAATATACTTCCTGTCAGCAAAGCAAGTTTGCATGAAATTATATCTATACCTATACTATAGTATAGCAGCTGAGGCTGCAACCTGATCTCATAGTTTCACTTCGACATTCGACGTAATCTGGATGAAAGTCTATTTTTGACGCATTCATTCCATGTGGTTACAGGGTTAATTCTGTGAGGTTACAGCGTTCAAACAGAAACAACTCAAAGGGTTATGGTTAGGGGTTAAGGTTAGGGCAATTGGTTGGGGAAGGCTTCAAACAAAAATGATTAAAAACAACGCTCTGTTTCCATCAAGTACTCTCCCTCTTGCCTGAGCATTGTGAACTGCCGTGGCGCAGTCGTCAGTGCAGATTGGTCTGTGTGGTGTGAGCACACTTCCCCTCCAAGCTTCCTGAGTTTGCACCAGTGCTCGGCAACTTTTTGTATTTTTTTGTGAGCGCTGAAGAAGGCATATATCAAAGTACTCAGGACCTTTTCAAACATCCTAAATCCCCTTGTATTTCTATTGACCAGGCTCAGTACATTATACTACTACTACTACTATTAGACTACTACTACTATTATTATTTATAAACATGTAAAAGTGTTTCTCTGCTGTGGAGATTAAATAATGGTCATTGTTTTATTTACAAAATGATATTATAGATATTTATCAATGGATTTAAGAAGAATGTCTGGATTGGTGCATATAAAAAAGACGGAATCTGGAAGTGGGTTGGCAACTCAACATTTAAACCTACGTAAGTGAACAGGTTCTGGAGGACTTTTTTTCTGTTGTAATAAATTACTTTTTACAGTCCGATAATCTTGTCCTCAGCCAGATGTCTCTCTCACTCTCTGTCGAATGGTAGCAATTGAGCCTGGAGACTAGGTTAACCGTCTGATTCTCTATTTTCTATTGGATGATATTAAACTCTGATTCTCTGTGTTGTTTATAGCTATTGGATGGAAGGGGAACCAAGTAACTTGAATGACAAGGTGGCTTGTATTGAGATCTCACAGACGGCATCAGACCCATTGAAGAGTTGGAAGGTTGGAATATGTACTTCAAATTACTGGGTGTGTGAAAAACCGTTCACACCGTAGTCTAATTATAATCACTAATGTAAGCCCCTATCTTATGGAGTTGCACTGGTTTTCCCTTTGTTAGGCTTAACGTGTTTCTATGTGTATCTATATTGAAATATGTATTTGATGTCTTTAAAGAGACCAGGGCTATGTGGAGTTTGTCCACCGTTCATCAGGCCCAGGGGAGTGGAACTGTGGTCTAGTAGGCTCTAACTGTGCTGTGGTCTAGTAGGCTCTAACTGTGGGTCTAGTAGGCTCTAACTGTGGTCTAGTAGGCTCTAACTGTGGTCTAGTAGGCTCTAACTGTGGTCTAGTAGGCTCTAACTGTGGTCTAGTAGGCTCTAACTGTGGTCTAGTAGGCTCTAACTGTGGTCTAGTAGGCTCCAACTGTGGTCTAGTAGGCTCTAACTGTGGTCTAGTAGGCTCTAACTGTGGTCTAGTAGGCTCTAACTGTGGTCTAGTAGGCTCTAACTGTGGTCTAGTAGACTCTAACTGTGCTCTAGTAGGCTCTAACTGTGGGTGTAGTAGGCTCTAACTGTGGTTGGACTTTTTTTTTAAACTATATTTACAATTTTTACCATTTAATGTGTGCATATAACAATTGAATAAGATTCTGTTTTCATTTAAGTTTTTACAGTTATCAATCCATTTCAAATGCAGCAGTGTTCTGTTTCCTTCCATTCCATTCCATATGTACCATGTGTTCATTCTACTGATTAAATACATCTATATACTGTGATCTAGGTATGTCATTTACTTGTCAGGTATACTGTAATACTAAGTGTTGTAATGTATGAATAGTAACTCCAATGTTTTCCTTCTAAATGGTGTCAGTTATTAGTTGACGTAGTACAGTAAAAACACTTTAGTTAATAGATAGAAAACAGTCGTTATCAGTAAAGTTATAGCAGTACCAGAATTGACCACTAGAAGGGTTGTGTCATCCATGGACATGTGACCAGAGCCCGTATTCACAAAGCATCCCAGAGTAAGAGTGCTGATCTAGGATCAGGTTTGTCTTTGACCTCTCTCTGGTAATGTTAGTTGTTTATTGTTTTACTTAGCTTACCCAGTACAAAGGAACCGATGGGATAGTCCCAAAAGAGCAAACTCTGCCCAACTAGCAACACAATACTCCTGTTGGATGAAATATTCACATTTAGAACTTCTGTGCAGTATTCTGGAACTTGAACTTAAAACCTAGACATGTGCATCTTCTAAGGCTCGCAACCTTAGCTATACCCACTGGATACCATTATGGACCTATAGCGTTCACATAATAATGGAGTCAGATTGATAAATGTAGGTTATTATTATATTCAACATAATTTCTACACATCTACACCTTAACAGGTGTCTTGAACATACTGAAGTCTGAGATTTCTGAGTTCCCAGGTGTTTTGAATGCAGCATTAGGGGATCTGTTCTCCACCACTCACAACCTCCTGTACTCAGGACCATAAATCATTATGAAGATCAGATTT